GCAAAAAAAAAAAAAAAAAAAAAAAAAGAGGGTTTTTTTTTTGTTGTGTTGCAATACACAAGAGCCATCATAGAAGCATACAATTTTTACATGTCAATTTTTTTTTTATTTTTTATTTTTTTTTCCCCTTCCCATTTGTTCATGTCTCCACCACCAACAACAACTGACACCACCGAAGAGAAGTCTCTCGGGTAGAAAAGATGCAATCAAAAAACCAAAAAAGAAAAAATATATATTTAAATGCATGCATGCACATTTATATATAAAATATACATATATAAACACACAAGAAAGAGGATGAAGAAAAAAGAAAAAAAACGACGCAAGAGAGCCCCTCTATCCCCGTATTTCCCTCTCTTTCATGTACTCACCCACACAAACAAGCAGGAAGATGTTTTAGAGAGGTGCAAAAACAAAAAACAACAACAACAACAAATAACAATAAGGGGGGTGGGATTAGAAAAAAAAAAAAACGAAACAAAACAAAACAAAAAATGCGAGAATTAAACAAAGTGGGTGCATCTAAAATAGAGAGAAAGAAATGGAGAGATTGTGTGTGTATGTGTGGATATCGTAATGAATGAATCCGTATTTATTTATTTCTTGTTCTGCCCGCATATTTATTTATTTATTTATTATTATTTTGCATATGCACCGCCATAACGCACGTAGACATTTCACCTGCCATGATGATCTCTTTTTATGATGTGTACATAATTTTTAAGAAGAAAAAACAAACAGAAGGAAGCAGACCAACACATCGGCAGGAACAAAAATGAGAGAAACAAATAGAGGAAAAAACAAAAAAACAAAACACACACACAAAAACAAAAAAAAAAAAAGAAGAAAAAAAAAAAAAAGGAGCGGATTGTGTTTATGCGGGAATGCCCTTCTGTGGAAGAGAATCGATCCAAAAACGGAAGGCCAAAGAAGGAGGAACAAACAAACAAACAAACAAAAAAAAAAAAGAAAGTGAAATAAAGAGAGATTGAAAGGGAAAAAGAGAAGAGGCGCCAGCGGGCGACGGTGGGTGGGTGGTTCCAACCCGCATCGAAGGAAAAAAACTTTGGTTGCCTTTTTTTTTCTTTTTTCTTATTTATTTATTTATTTACTTCTTTTCAGGCACTCAGCACTCATCACCGCATTGGCGCATGCGGTGACGGCGGGCCGATGGCAAAAAAAAAACAAAAAAACAAACAAATAAAAAAAAACATACGCAAAAAAAAAAAAAAAAGCCTTTTGAACCGTCGTGGGAGTGGCGCGTACACTCGCAGTGGAATTTCTTTGTGCCTTTTTCTTTTTCCTCCGTGACTGTTTGCTCATTTCACAAACGCAAAGGGTGATGGTGGGAACAGAGCGTCCACCACTGCAGTGGGGAAGAGGCGGGATAAAAGAAGAACAGGTATGGGGCGAGTTTTTTGTATTTGCAGAATCTCCACACCTAAAAACAACAGCAAAAACAAAACAAAACAAAACAAAAAAAAAAAAAAAACTGCCTTCTGCACTGTCGATGCTGTGCGATGCACAAGGATCCCATGAGCAATTTTATGCCACCACATGAGATGCAAGAAAGGTCCCAATTAGATCGTAAAATGTGCACGAAGAAGAGAAGCAGCTCGAAGAGTCACCGTTGCAGTGCAATCGTTGCGAACTTACGGCTCAAGTGGAGACAGTTCTTTGTTTTTTTTTTTTTTTCGCACAACCGATGCAGCATCCTGAAACGCGGAAACACGGAGAGCACGGCTGCGTCCAAGCCCGCCATTCATTGTGACATGTGCGACGGGTAGGGTGTGACGCTGGGTGCCTGGCAGTGCACGCAAGGCGACAATGCCTCATGAAAGCAGGTCAGCGGAGTGCGCTGATGCCATGCGATATGGGCTGTTGGGATAGCACTGTGCGATGCTCCTGCACCTGGGACGGGCGCTGCGCAAGTGGTGGCTGTTGAGTGGCCGGTCACACAAATACTGCGACACCACAAGGAGAAAGGACCAAACACTCCGCGTGGAGGGAGCGTTGCGGCCGATGAGGACTCTGTGCTATGGTGATGGACGCTCCCTCGACGACGGATTGACGATCCGTCCCATTGGTGGAGTCAGTGCGCACGCGGTGTGTATGGCCGCCTCTGTGTTCTTCTGCTACTCCGCTTTTTGTGCCGCATTCTGACGCATAACTGGCACGAAGCCATTTCCTTCTTATTCCGCCTTTTTTTCCTTTGTCTCTCTCCTCCCGCAGTCAGGCTGCACTGCTGCTGCTGCTGCTGCTGCTACTCACACGAAACCAATAAATGCGATTTGCTCAGGCCATTCGCCAGCCACGCCACGCCGCTTCTCCCACTGGTGGTGTTGTTGCTGGTGTACTGCGCCAGCGGGGTGTATTGTCGCTGCACCCGCTCTGGAGCTTCGCCGTGGATTTGACACGGTGAGGAGGCGGGGCGCGTTGCAGGCGTACACCGTCGCCACACAGAATGACAGCAGTGGCTGGGAGCCGAACCGCATCGAGGTTTTAACGGAAGATCTGGAGAAGAACACGAACAAGGGAAAGTACTGCGAAGAGGGAAGGGATGAGTGCTACAACGTCTTGGGGGACACAATGACTTGTAAAGCCGAGCACCCCTTGACGGAAGAAAGGAGGCATTTGCACACTGAGAAGATTTTACACGGTGCCGCCAAAATGCACGTTGAGTTCTTCTCCATTTCTTGCGCGATGGACCTCCATCACTAGTGCAACAGGCGGCGAGGTTGCTGTTGCTGTTTCATCTGTTGTGTGTTCTCCACTGATACTGCGAGGTACAGGGGTCGGATGTGGCGGCAGTGGGCCGAACATAAGGAAGGAGGAGGATGGTGCGTGCGGGAGGGCCATGGGGATGCATGTTGCGGTGCGCGGCAGAGGAGGGCAAGGGAGGGTCCCTGCGGTGTTGGAATGCCGCGCACTGTTTGCGGACTAGATGTGCCCTTTGTTGCATGGCGTGTTTTGGTGTCCCTTTCTCGAGTGTGTGATGCCAGCCGGCTCTTCACGATTGTGGCGATGACGTGTTGGCAGCGGTTTGGGTTGGCGGTAGCTGTTCCGCCCTCTGGGGCTGCGAGGGTGGATGCGTCACAGTGAGCCACACCAATTGCGCACGACACCTTGTCCGCAAGCAAGTGATGCAGCGATTGCCGACGGGACGCGGCCCTTTTGACTTTTTTGACCCTCTGGCAGCCTGCAGTCTCAGCTTGAGTCGTGGTGGTCTTCTCTTTTCCCACTCCTTCCGTTTGTGCGTGTCCGCAGGCAGTTACGGCTTCGCGCACACGTCATGTACACCAGAGTGCACGTGGAAGATTTTTTTGTCTTCGGGGCTGGCAGTTGAGTGTGGCTGCTGTATTTTTCCTTGGCCATGAAGGAGAGAGAGACACGAGGGAAGTGTCATGCCGTTTTGCTCCCTGCAGCTGCAATGCGCTCCGTACGGTCGGTTGGAGTGAGGCGCCGCATGCCGTTGAGTGTGGGATGGCAGTGGAATTTTGGCGCCCATTTATGGATGACTGAGAACCGACTTCCTCGCGTGACTGGTGTGTGGGTGGGTGCGGTCTCGCATTCCGTGAACTGTGTTGGCTGAAGCTGCTTCTTGCCATACTGTGTGCCCTCTTTTTGCTTATGCCCATACTGCGCCTCTCTCCCTCTCTCCCGTTCTGTCTTTCACTTCCCCACTCCGTGTGCAGATCAGCGGACTGACCCCAGCAACACTAGGAAGGATGATGACTACTGTGATGAAGGCGACTGCGCTGCGCCGTGAAGTGTGCGCCCTGTTGTCCCTCGCGCTGTTGTGCTGCTGCGCTTCCATTTTCGTGACGGCTGCGGCTGCGACGGGGGCTGCTGTACAATCAACTGAGTTTTATTCCGGAGCGTCTGCCGTGAACGTGTCGGTGGAGATCTCGTGTGCGGACAGTGAGAATACGTTGCAATGGCGCTTCCCTGGCCGGTCAGAATGGAATAAGTGTGTAAGCTCACTGGGTGCTCATGGCTACACTGTTGTTGCGAGCAGTGGTGGAGGCTACACTGTAAGTGCATCTGACGAATACACTGTTGATCAGAAGGACACTGTTGATCAGGGGAGCGCTGTCGAATACAGTCTGGGTACATCATATGATATGATTGAAGATGTTGAGTTTCTTGCCTTTGATACGATAAGTGAGGATCTCAGCCGTGTCAGTGAGTCACTGTGCCTCTCGGCCGAACAGATGTACTTGACTGCAAAATGTAATAAATCCTGCAAGTCCGCCGGAGCGGGTAAAACCGCGTTTACAATGGAATTTCCAACGACTAAAGAAAGTGGTGTGTACAAGAAGTGGCTGGAAAAGAAAACAGAAACTAATGCTGCTGTGGGTAGCACCTCAGGCGTCTGTCAGTTAAAGACTTCTGTTGAAAGGGCACCTGAGGGCGTCAACAGTGGAACTCCAGTGGCCGCTGCAGCGGCGTCGGCAGCACAAGTGACAGGAGTGGAGGCACCCGCAGCGGGGCAGGCTGCAGGCAGTTCGAGTTCAGCTGCGAGTGGGGCCTCATCATCGGCACAGACTATTGAGCAGGGGATATCCCCAGCGGACCCACAAGCCGGTAACACTTCGCAGCTGCCAACAGGCGAAGGGGTTGGCAGAACGGATGCATCCGGGACGACGCAAACACCCTCAGCCACTCCCGCCAGCGGCAATGGTGAGTCCTCCGGTGCAGCCACGGCCGGTGCTGCCTCACAGTCCGGCAAACCGACATATACGAAGGAGGCCAACAACAGTGCCACCACTGGAGCGCAGGATCCCGGCACGTCGGACAGCAGCGCCATCGCCACTGCGTGGGTGCACACACCACTGCTGCTGCTGCTGACCGCCCTTGCATGTGCCGCTGGGCAGCGGTGCGGAGCAGCCACACACGAATGATGAAAGGTACGACTCGTCCCCTGTATGTGTGTGTCTATTCTGCCTGACGCCCTGTGGGCAAATTCTCCACCTCAATTTGGGAAATGTTTTTGCTATGTCTTTTTTCCACTGTCTGGTTGCTGTACACTGTCGTGAATGACGATTTCCCTCTTTTTTGCTTCTGCCACCCACACGCGGTGCCGGCCTCATTGCTGTGCGTCCCACGGAATGCAGAAACGAGGCGTGAAGGAGTAGGCCGGATGCCGCATGAAATGTGAGGAATGTTGTGTGGGCTCACGGGAGAATGCAATGTGTTTTTTTTTGTTTCTGCTTGCAATATATGTGGACACCTATCCCCCCTGTGTTTTGGGACACGTGAAATGAAAACTTTTGCTGAGAGATGTTTCTTTTCTTTTTTTTTTTTTTCCGCCTCTCGGGAGTTCTTCTGGACTCTCAACTTTCTTTTGTTTTCTTTTTAAATTTTTTGTTGCTTTTTTTATATTGTATTGCTTTTTTCTTGCAAATCATTTCCCCTCTTTTGCTTGTTGCTTTGGGGCAATCACCATGGACGTTTTTTTCTTTTCTACTTTTGTTAATTGTTTCCCGCTGCGCTCTTCCTGTGAGGGGTGCCGTGTGTTTCCCGCCCAACTGCTCCACTCGCACACCCACCGACACGCTCATGACGACAGCCCTGTGCGCCTCGCCCGCTGCACGCATGAGGAGGGGCCGCGACGAACGGCGCGCTGAGGGAGCCGTGACGTGTGGGCGTGCGACGAGGGCCTGTGGGGCGGAGCACACATTTCTTTCCCTCTTGTTTTGTTTTTTTGCGGCCAGGGCGGGCAGACACCCGCAGCGCCACACACACACACAGCCACACCCTGCCGCCATGTTTTTTTTGTTAGTTTTCTTTTATTTGTATGTTGTGTGTGCTGCCGCCGTGCGTGATTGTTGAGGTTGTGGCTGTACCGCATGTATTTCTGCCATCCAGCTGTGTCTCTTGCTGTGCTGATGATGTGCCTCCCTGTGCTTCTTTTTCGTTCCTCCAGCACGCACACATAATTATTTGCACAGTGCTCTGAAAGAATGTTTTTGGCGACGGCGGGACGTTTGCTTGCGTCTCGTGCTGACATTGCGAGGCTGCTGCGTGTCTGCCTGCTGTGGGGATCACGGTGCCATTGGATGGATGCGTGTGGGACGCTCTTTGCATTCCGCCGGAGGCCGACTGACGCGGCTGCGCGATGCCCGTCATGCGTGAGGGTGTTGCCTGCTCTTGGGGTCATTCCTTTCATCCCTCTTTTTTTGCACTGCCGTGTGTGGGCGTCGCTCGGTGTGTGAAGAATAATTACGCACCCGCCGTGGCTCCTGCTGGCGGTGACCGTCGCTGTGTGTTCCCGGTGCACTGTTCTTCCTTCTCGTTCCGTGTGTCTGTGTGCGTGAGTTGTTGTTGTTGGGAGTGACTGCGGCGGGGATGATGACGGTGCCACTCACTGTGGACGGGTGGCCGTGCTCAATGTCATGCTATTTTTTCTCCCCGCCTCTCGCACACACACACGCTAGGAAAGAAGGAAGTTGCGACTAATCGCTACTGTGAAATTCGAGGGCTCTGAAAGGACCAACAACAGCACACACACCGCCCACACACACATATTTACATGCTCTCACTTGTTGCTGCTGTCAAGGCACCCCGCACACACAACTGTTGCCGCGTGACCGGATGCGGCGGTGGAATGAGGGAAGGAAGGAAGAGAGAGTGAGCGGCAGAGGCCCAACATGTCCCGGCATGTGTGTGCTTCCGCGGTGCTGCTTCTCCTTGTCGTGATGGTGATGTGCTGCGTCGCCTGTGGAGGGAGCGGGGAGGTGTGAGGGAGTGAGGGTGAGTGGCAGCCGATTCCCTCTCGCAAACTGGGGTTTTCCACACATGTGTTTTCTCTCGACAGCCAATTGCGGCTCTCAGGCCGTGGAGAGGGAGAGGGTACGAAGGGCTTGCTTTGGTCAGGAGGAGGATGAGTGGAGCAAGCCCCTTTTGTGGCCTTTTCAGTGTTGTTGGCGACAAGTACGAGAAACATAAATTTGAGCAATTATAAGATGAAATTTTGATGCTGTTCCGTGTATACTGCTCAATTGCCGTTACTTCACAACAAATCCGCTGTGCGATTTGGTGCGGTGCTGACCGATGAGGGGAAGGCGATGGTGTCACTGGCGTGGTTGCTTCTGCGCGTCTTTGTGTCGGTGGTTATGCTTTGGTGGCGACTGTCTGTGGCAGGATGCCTCTGCGTGCCACTGTGTTTAGTTACTGTTGCTGCTGCCTCTTTCTTTTCTGACTGTGCAGATAGAGATACTTTGGCTTGACCAGCACAACTATCGTTTCTAGGTATTAGGAGTTGCTTGCAGTATTAGGATTAGTAGCAGTAGGATAACAATCTGGCGGAATTGTGTCACTGGATTTGCCATCTGTAGAAAGGGATTTACGAGGCAGGAGTCACGGTTGACGGGGCGAGTGCGACACGCCACGACAGCCCTGTTGATATCTGTTTGGGTCTGTGGATGTGGTCTGTTGTGGGTGAGTGTCCGCGCAGCCGGCACCGTGTGCAGCGCAGGGCCATTGCGGCTGTGCGTGCGGCGCTGCTCGTTGTGTTGGCGGTGGCTGCTGCTGCGGCGTGGATGCCCGCAGTGCATGCGGTGGTGCTGCGACTGCGGGGCGGCACGGTGGACAGAGCCATCACGGTTGGCCGCGTCGTGGACACGGTGCTGATGGACGGCGTGTACATCACGAACGGCGTGGCTGTGGTGTTCGACTTGCCGGCGATGCTTCCCGGCGCGCTGCGCATCGAATTGAGGAGCTGCGTGTGCGACGGCGGTGCGCAGATCTACGTGCGGGGCTACAGCGGCGAGCCGGCGAGTGACCGGAGCCTGGAGGTGAGCGTGAGCGGGCTGTCCGGGAGCTACTGCTCGCTTGTGTTTGCGCACAACCTGCCGGCACACACGAACGTGACGGTCTGTGACTCGACGATTGTGACGGCGGGGCCGATGCGCTACTCCCAGCTGAGCGGGCTGACGGACGCGGTGGCGTCGCCACTTGTGCTGCACGCGACGTCGCTGTTGCAGACGCAGCTGCGTGTGAGCAATACTGTGCTGAGGTCGTCGCGGGCGGGCGGGTCGGCGGTGTACTTTGGCGGCGGCGTAGACCTGCTGTCGAGCGCGGTGGTATTTGACGGCGTGTTGCTGGAGGCGTCGGGCGGTCCGACCGCGTCCGCGATGCGTGTGGCGTCCTCGTCGCGTCTCAGTCTGCGGAGCCACTCGGTGTTTTCCGTGACGAACGTGTCTATCGTGAGCAGCGGCGGCGGCATTGTGCTTGGCGAGCGCCTCGCGGTGTCCGATTCGGTGCTGCGCTTCGTGGGCGTTGAGGGGTCTGCTGCGTCGTCGCTGGTGCGCTGCGACGGTGGAACGTTCGGTGCCGGCGGGTGGCTGGACCTGCACGACGTGTGGGCGGTGGGCGAGGCGTCGTCGGTGGCGTCGCTGTCGGGTGTGACGCTGAGCGGCGGCGCCGTGTCGATTGCGCGCTGCGCTGCCACCGGCGCGACGCTTGTCTCCGGGCCGACGATCACGAGTGGCGTCGTGTCGGTGCAGTGCAACCGTGCCGGCGGCCGGGTGCTGCGGAGCAGCGGCGACTACCGCTCTGCCGGCCTGCCCTCCGTGAGCGTGGTGCCGTGCGACGGCTGTGCGGCTGCGCTGGCGTGCTTCGATGCGCTGACTGCGTCGTTCTCCGACTGCGTGTGCAGCTGCCGCGCCGGCGGTGTGGGCGAGGCGTGCCTGCCGTTCGACGTGCCGCCTGCGAGGGCCGGCGGCGGTGGTGGCGGTGCGCAGGACTGCGTGAGTGGCGTGACGCTGACGGAGTCGGTGACGGTTGGCGGTGGGCGTGCGACGGCGTGCTTCGACTCGGTGGTGTTCAGCGGACCGATCACTGTGGCGGTGGACCTGCGCTCGATGGACGCGTTCGCTGACGCGCTGAACGTGACGCTGCGCCACTGCGTGCTTGCGGGCGGGTCGCAGCTGCGGATTGGCGGCCTCAGCGAGAGCACGGCGCGCCCGATGCCCCGGGCCCTCGTGAACATGACGAACGTGACGTCGCTGGAGGGCACGATTGTGCTGCATGGCGCGATGCCGCTGCACTCGAGTGTGCTGCTGGCGAACTCGACGCTGCGCGCGACGGTTGGCGGGTCGCAGTACGTGCCGACGACTCGTGGCCACGAGGGATTTCGGTACGGCCCCGCGCTAGTCCTGGACGGCGTCCGGCTTCTGTCGACGCGGTTTGTCATGACGCGGTCGACGATGGTGTGTGGCGGGGACTCGTGCGCTGCGATCCTCGTGGAGCGCGGTCTTGGCGCGAAACTCTCCAGCGTCTTCTACATGGACAACTGCGTTGTTATGTCGCGGACGCACGTGATGTACGCCCTTGCGTCGGACCTGCGTGTCAGCGGCGGCTCCGTGTTCTCCATTCAGAACAGCTCGTGGAGTGCGCCGAGTATTGGCGTCTACGAAGGCGCGTGTCTGTTTGGGGACGTTGCGGTGGATGGCGGCAGCGTGCTGCAGATTGTGTCCAGCACTTTCCGTCTTGGCTTCGCCGTGCTTGTGGCAGCCACGCTGACTGTGACTGGTGGCAGTTGGCTGTTGCACCGCGACAACGAGTTCCGCACCGCCTACGTTGTGTACGTGGTCCACGAGAACGGCGTGGCGTTTCGCGATCGGAGTGTGTGGTCGATACTTCACAACAACTTCACGTACGGCTCGTACTCGTCGACCATTGCATGTATGACAAACGATTGGTTGCCACCATCTGACTCGCGCCCGACCATTTACGGCGTGTGCAACGAGGCAAGGGGCTCTCCTGTGACGAATTACCAAGAAGAGCTTAATATTGGGACGCCCGTGACGGTGTTGGAGTGTGGTGCGTGCACGGTGGACGCCGTGTGCTTCGCTGCGAGGACGAGCAGCATCAGCGGCTGCGAGTGCGTGTGCGCTGC